CCCCCCCCCCGTTTCATCTCGCGGGTCCCGGAAAATTGTACAAGGGGCGAAAATATATTTTACGCAATGCAAAGGGCAATATACGTAAACCTTATGTCGCTTTTCAAAATTTATTTTTTTTCCCTTATTTTCCTCTGTCCGGCGAATCGTTTTGGCATCTTTACGAAATTTCCCCCCAAAATGATCCACGCTCCGTTTCAGTACGATGCATCGCGTGCATATACGTTACCATTAATATTAATGATTTTTAAAAATTGAAAAAAATATTTTGTAAAATCAACCTCGACGATTTCACTTTGACCGAGATAAAATTTTTTTCCACAAATCGATCGGTTTCCTCTTGGCAAACTCTGAACAAAGCAGACTGCGGATTCGTTACTGTCCCACGTTCCCAGTCGGATCTCCGACCCAGGTCGCCTATCCTAATTCGCATGAGATACGCAGGAATACACGAGAATGCCGAACGCCGACGGTTGACGATCTACACCCATATACTTATTTATGTGTATTTTGATTTTTTACAGCTCGGACCATCCCACGTGTTCGCGATTAGATTTTTTCCTTTTACGTTCGATACGATCGTAACGGCTCTGTAGGATTTATCCCGAGGTTCGTATTTAATCGACGAAGATGTCTCTCGTTAACGGGGATTACGTCACAGGGAACGAAACAATCGCCGGAACTCGTCGACAAGAACTACTGTCCTCTTACATCCGGGAAGATCAGCACCTCAACGACCGCACTGTTGGCACTCCTGATCAGACGGACCTAGACGATCTAAGAGAGACGAATTTCCCCTCTTAAAGGGATACCCCCCCTTTACTCGTCGCCCTCTCCTGCCAAACCTAGGGACTTTTCCGCGAACTTTCCGTCGCTTACAACCTGGAGCGGTTCCCTTACTCTTTCACGGCTCTTAGTTACTTTTTCGAAAAGTTCAAAAACTTTGGAATATCCGACCGACGGGTAAAACTTTGATGGCCGCCAATGGCATCGCGATAGTTTTGGCTGTGTATATGTTTTTCGAAAGTGTAACCGGACCTATGGGACTCCTTCAAAGTGGACCACATCTCTGTATACATTTATCTTACGACTCTGGAAACGCTCGCTCTTCGCCCGAAGATCGACGCCAATTTCCGATTTCATAATAAAGCATCCTCGCGATTTATTCTTATACCGACGAGATGGGAATAAAGTTATTTTTGTTTTTTTTTTTTTTTTTTTTTTTTTTTTTTTAATTCGTCCACGTCCGCGTTACGAAATTTATATTTGACTTGATCGAGCTTACGCCATTGGCCGTACTTGTCGACTCCTTAACGGTCGGCATCCGTGCAACGAAGTAATTTAGCTTTTTAAATAATTCTTAGAGAGGCGTCGCTCTCTCTCTCTCTCTCTCTCTCTCTCTCTCACACGGGTGTACTATATACTTATATATAGAAGTTCGTCGCGGAGCCTATGCTCGCTCCGACTCTCCGTTAATTAAAGCTTCTTACGACGGTCCAGAGTAGTTGGGCGCGTGTAATAATTGTGCATTCCCCGTTGGCAGCACCGTCTTGGTGGGGCTTTTGTTTTCGAGGGGGGTTTGTGTTGGCACGCCTGGAGACAATGGCGGCTGATAACAATACCGAGTTTGTATTTCTCTAACGCGAACGCCATCCCTCGGTCTCCGTGATGCTACGTATCCCAAGACCTTCGATTTCTGCGGCTCGCAAAGGCCCTCTGGTTCGCCCAAAGGCAAAACTAACCGAACCACCGAGAGCTATTTACCCGAGTCGAAGTAAACACGTGAATCCCTTATCAACGTGGTATACGTAATTATAAATGAATTTTCGCATATTATTTCTGGTATGAAACTTTCTAAAGCACTTTCACCCCACTCGCGTAAAAAGTGCCAATTTTTTAACGTAAAATTTAAACCTTGACATTGACCTTGACTTTTTCAACCTAACCTCTATTTACGCAATCTCACGCTCAACGTCTTATCAGCATCCGTTTCTACCGTTCGGGAGGGACTTGCTGGCCATTTTTATCACCGCTTTGTCTTATCTACGAAGAAAGCCAGTTTTACCGCGAGCCAGCAGCATCCCTTGGGCCCGTGACGAGGCTTTCAAAGGGTACCCCAACCTCCTTTTTTTACCAGGCGCGGCTTTTGCTTTATTTCAAAGTACAATTGCGTCTCTCGTGCCTCGAGTCCCTTTTCGCTTTTCTTTCCTTCTCTCTCTCTCTCTCTCTCTCTCTCTCTCTTGTTATTAGCCACTACCTCGTCTCTCTCGCTCCAGTCCGACCCACCCTGCACGCAACTCACACGTGGACTTCAGGTCCACCGCCGCGATACCTGCGATTCGCCACGCGTTATGCGCGCCTGTACTTCTGGGCAGTGTCTCTCAACGCGTGGTCGATCAACGAAAAATTCGCTAGACGCCCGTTAACGGTATCAGCACCTGGCACGTGCGCGTTAAACGTGCAGATTCGCCAGTCGAGCTTAACGCGAGTTCTGCGATTCGCTCTCGAATTGTCCAATTAAAATAGAATTACGTACACTTTGCTCTAGCTGCGAATGAATAGCGTCGTGCACGCTAGCTTGTAATTCACTTGGCAAGGACAAAAAACCGATAACCAAAACAATGGATTACCGTTGATTTGGATATAGGAGGACGAGCATTCGTAATTAAAGATTTTCATCGAGGGTGGAATAATTATTAAGAGCTAATAGGTATACCATAGCGCAGTACGGTGATTGGCCAGTGTGATTTATTCCTGAATTGACTTAGGGTCGGTTTATAATAAAGTTTTGTTCCAGTAAAATGCATATACACTGTATCGATAAAACTATGATAGTAACAGAGTATACAGCATCGTTCTGTAAATAATACATGAGAACGATACCCAGTGACTGTAAAAAAGTCTCTTTACGAGCTACTAAGTGCACGTCGATTATCCTTAAGGTTCTCCTGTCGCGCGTTGAGAATCGTAGAATGGAAGAAAGAATGACGGCAGACGTGTTATAACCAGTGAGATACGGTTTGTCGTTGGCGACGCCATCTACCGGCACTACGGCGAACCCCCAACTTCATTACCGATGTGAACCCCGTCGCTCCCAGTCCTTACTCGGGTCTTCTCGAAGAAACACAACGAAATTCTTCAGGTCGTAAGTCAAATAGTTTATTGAAGTGGCAACTATTTATTTGTCAGTTGGTCCTCTGGCGTCTTTTTGCCGCTTCGTCGTCATGGCTCGCAGACTTTATTTTCAATCCAGTTGTGTGACGTGTACAGGAGCTACGGGTAGGGGGTGTGTTGTTTACTCGTACCTGGTTTTTGCTCTATCGCGAATTGGCGTAAGACGGAGGAACGTGAAATTGTGATGACTGGTAGTAGGAGAAAAAAGTCTAGTCCCGCACAGGGTGTGACCGAAGGTACTTTTCTCTTAATTGCATCGCTATATATATATATGTACCAGACGATGATGTTTGCCGGACAGAAACATCGATTAGTAAAACTCGGTCGGTAATTTAGGCAATTTGTACGAATTTACGTGATGCGACTGTTTACTAGGGAATATTTTTTTTCTGTTGGTAAAATTACAATCGGTCACTATGTGCTGTTAGGGTATGACGATGTACTGTTGTCTGTAGGCGTAATGGATATGCCGGGTAGCACGTGGTGCACCGTGGAATAATTAACGTAAGAGTAAATTGAAAAGAGCGACTTGAAAAGGTTGCGTATGGCGACCGAGGAGTTTCGGGGGGTCCTTACGAGTCTTTACAAAAGCGATACGAATTCTCGTTAAACCGTTTCGCGTCCCGAGTGTCGCGTTTTCATGGCGCGACGCTCAAATTGCGACACCTCGCGAGATACCTGTAAAGCGTGAAAGAGGGTTTGGGCATAAAGGTGTTTCTTTTGAAATGGCACGCGTACTGTCTCTGCCACTTTTAAAAATGGCTTTTTATCTCGGCCGAGTGAAAAATATAAAATCACGAGATAGTGGATTAAGCGCGAGGGAAGTATGTGCACTGAAATTACTATATAACGCTTTTACGCGGGCGATCGTTCGTTTCGAAATGGTCACCCGTTACATATTAGATCGACTGTA